GTCACCCTTCCTCGCAACAATGGTTCCAACATGCGGATCTTAGCAGCTTGGACTCAGGATTTGGTCCACACAAATTACACTACATGCCTCCACCCCAACTAAAACCATAAACATCAAATATACAGTGTATATATATATATACATCGATTAACATATGCTAACTCCAAACGCATCCACATACCTTTCCAAGTCTCCATGGGGAACCGCAGGTGGTCGTGTCCCCCGGCCACCGTGCGCAGCTCCGCCACCTCTGCGGCCAGCTTGGGATTGCTGCGCAGCACACGGCTGCTGAGTGAGAGCCTTCCGTCCCAACGCGGCCGATCATCTGGTCGTGCACCGCGGCTGGTCATCTGGATAAGCTGATAAGGAACACCTGGATTGAGAAGCTAAGATCCTTGTGTTCACACACTCTTCCGATCTGGTCTTTATTAGGTGATCCATTATCCACTGTCAATCCACTGTTATCTAAGTGTTCTTTGAGGCGTTGGGTCTATCAAGGGGCAAAATTTGGATTGGCTTTTCTGGCCGAAAGCTGGTGACCAAGCTGTTCGGATGATTGTGTGGGTCTTTCAAGGTGAGATGGCTTTGGGATGGACACGAAGAACACATCGACTGCCACCCAAGATGTGGCCCGGGGAGAAATCAGAGTTTCATCATATTGATTGTGTGTGTGTGAGTAGTATATAAATAAATATAATTAAGGAAACTTAGACTTGAAGGTGGCAGTGGAAACACTGCAATGTCTAGGCCGTTGAACTTCCATGAGGATTGGCATGGCATCTGGCGAGTTACCCTGTAAACCTTTTGCCTGAAAGACCCATTTCCTTCAAGGCCTATGATTGTCTGCAGGGATGTAGTTGCCATGTTCTGGATTCTGAATGGTGATGCTGCCATGGCACTCGACATAGCTCACATTGAAGACTTCAGGGTCCTTAACAACAACAAAAAACTGCAGGAGGAGAAGATCCGAGGACCACGCTTCATCGCACACGTCCATCGGACCACGCTTCAGGACCAGCAATCACAGTGCCATGGCGAGCTTTGGGACCAGTCCCGTCCATGGCGGTTCCCTCAACTGTTGGGCCTTGCCAATCCACTGCGGTTCTTTTCTCGTGGCGAAGACCGCCAAACACTCGACTGGATCTCAAGCAATGGGTCATGTTTGTGAAATGTCTTTCTTGCGTACCAGTGTCTTCGGCTCCATGTCAGGGTGAAAAGCACTGTAAACGTACCAAAAAATTCTGCAAGCAACGCCCTCTCCTCTAGAAACAAGTGCTCTTCAGTGTCCACCCTCCTCCCATGCAGGCCCGGCCACCGACAACACGACCGTCGCAGCGGCAATTCACACCGTCCGAGAATCCAGTCCCATCGCATCAAGCTGGTCGCTGGACAACTGCCTCGGGCCGGTTGTGTCAAAGCCTGGCTTTGGTCATTCCGATGTGGATCATGAGTGGACAATTGGCTCTTTCACATGGTAAACCAATGAAAATCTTGCTGAAAAGCATGTCTGTCCTACACATTTCTTATAGTTTCTTGACGTTGTCTCAGAACAGCACACCCTTGCTCAGTAGTTTCTGCTGTGCTGCAACGACTTGCACGCGCCGCCATCACTTGCGGGGCCGGTTCTTTTTTCACGGCCGACTCCAAGCCATCCCAAGCTCCTTCGAGTGAAGGTGAAGTCTAAGGAATTCTTTAAGGTGACACAGTGATGAACCAACCTTCCACACCACCTTCCTGAACTCATTCCACCGCACAGTGAGGATTCTTTCGACTGGGACGGTGCTTTTTTTTACTGAACATCCACCACTCCCGAGCCCAAGTGGTCAGCTGGGCCCCGGACTCATTGGGACCTTCCCAGAAGCTACTCTCCACCTCCTCCAGCTCGGTCTCTGCCTGGGCCAAGCTTTGACAGAATCCCAGTGGAGGGTTTGAGGGGTGTGGCGGACCCCTGCCAAGCCATATATACACTCCCTGAAAGAATCAATGGACATGGAAGGACATGGCAGGACCATGCCCCTGCACATGAAAGCAGGAACAAAAAGGACAGAATCATCAGTGTGGATGGCATCGCCTAGAAAACGGATAACCATGAAATTAGACCCAACTGCCAGGTGGTGAACTCCGCGGTCACCCTGATCCTGATGACTTCACGTAGTCACCCTGATTGCTCTGTGCTTCGTCACTGGTGCTAGGCCGGTCCGAAGCTTCGGTGTGGGGCCGAAGGGATCGATCCATCCCAGGTCTGGCCAGGTATCCCTTCCAATGACACTTCCCAAGTGTTCAAACAACAGATCTGCATACCTCACAGATTCGAAAGTTAATGACGGCTTTGTCGTGGCATCCTTTATCATCCTTCCTCCATGCCAACACTCGCCCTGCCCATCCATGCCAAGCTGCAGGGTAGCGGTCCGAAAGCTCCTTCATGCGCCGATGCAAATCGGAATCCTTCGCCGCGGTGCCCTCGGACGCCCGGCGGCGGTCTCGGTCACGGTTCTCTCTCCTCTAGTGCAAGTGAGAACGGGTTACATACAGTACAATAAGCTATAGGCTCATCTGATCCGGGTTTCATATTGAAAACAATTGGCACCTACTCACTGGTCACTTGGGCATCACGCGCAGCATATGTATTGTATTCAATGTATTCGTCTAGTCCAAGACTGCTGGAGAAATTCTAAAAAAAAACTGAAATCCTCCCCAAACCAAATGTCAGTCAAAAACTGCACCACTGGCGGCCTAGCCGCGCCCATTTTCCCAAATGGCAGGCAATTGCCAAGGTGCGACTGGCAGCTTGTAGCTCAGGTTTTGCCCGCCCAGCGCATGCTGCCTAACTGAACCCGTCCGCGCCCGAAAACCAAACGACATGAGGGAAGCTACAACTTGTCCACCAGTTAAAGCAGTTTCCCTCTACATGCCACGTATATCCAGGCATCATCTAAGCAACCATACCGACATACCAGCTTGATTCTTCAGCATGCCCCAAAAGTGGACTCACGCCCTCGTAAAGGCCAATCACCATGCCTCATCCCTACCATGCCCCTTCCCCACACCCACGGCCGTGGGTTATATATAGCATTATATAGCCCAAGGACTTACTGCAGTTGCGGTCCAGGCAGTCGTCGGCTTGCACAGACCAAAGGCACAGTCGGCCTGCATCCAGGTGATCGAACACGGGACCGTCCGGTGACCAAAAGAGATGGACAGTGACCGTCGGACCGTCACCTGGGGTATACTATACCTATGGGATAGGCGACCTAGGTAGGGTCCTTCAACCTCTGTTGGTAGTTGGTGCAACAAAACCCCAACAAGACTTCGGGAAGAAGACCGAACGACAGTCGGTGGTGATTGACGAGACACCATTCATGGCAGCCAAATGGGCAAACAAGGCTGAGGACTCTGAAATAACTATATATAGATTACCGTAGAAGTCCAGGACCTTACTTTGTAGGTCCTCAGGGATTCTTGTGGAAAGTGGGCTCAAAAGGAACGTCAAAAGAATCATTGGACGCACGTTTAATAAGCTTGCTACTGGCAGGACTCTGCGGTCTGAATGACTGATATTGACTGATAGGTCAACACAGCAACGTCTTCCGGTGGTGGTTGGCTGTTGGCTGCCTAAGGAATGGCACGACCCCGGAGTGAAAAATCCATCCTCACTACTCCAGCCATCTTCCTCCAATGTAACTCTATATATATATATATAATATAGCAATATATAGCACAAACTCCAACAACATGAATCATGAAGCTTGAAAATATCCATGAATTTCCCGTAGCCCGTGCGCCAGTTTGGGGCCGACTGGTCAAGCTATGAAGCTTCAGAAGCTGAATGAACCGACAGCCGCTCCGTCGCGGCCTCCACAGGGGAGGATCACTAATCGGTGCTGGCCGTTGAGGGCGTCAAAGTCGAAGGTGTCCAGACTCTTCAGCAGGTAGGTATCTGCCAGGTGTGTATCTAATGGGATGCATCCAGGTCGAAACGACAGCTGCCCCAGGTAGTGGCTTCATGCGACGAGCAACTTCCGTGCATACTGACACACGCGAGGAGTACCGAGTAATGGCGATGTTTCTGCTGTGTGTGTTGTTCCATGTTGCTCCTCTTAGTATCTGAACTGCCAGGGTGTGACGCAACTGGTTTCGCCCTAGCTGCCCCTGCACCAGGGTCAAGTTCAATATAATTCGATGTTGCCCATAAAAACTCTTCACGGCCTTGTTGCTGGCCTTGTTCCTCATCGGGTCTCCCGCGGGTCGCTCGCAACCCGAGCAGACCCTGCCGGTGCGCCTAGGATCGTCGTTCGGCCTGCCCGGATATCGCCCACCTTGGACGGATGGTCGCCAACGGGGCGGGTGGAATGTTCAGAACCAGTGGCCCATCGGAACAAGAAAGAAACTATACCCAGGAGTCACAAAGGGGTGTCCAATGAAGTACCCCACACTACCTATAGGCTTCCATTGGGCACCCCTTTGTGACTCCTGGACAGTACATCTAAAGCATCAAAGCCAAAGACATCATATGGCTTCCTATGATCCTCTTGACGTCCTTTGTGCCGAAAGCTGGTGAGCCGTGCGGAGGCGCGTGCGTCCCAGGCACGTAGTGGGTCTGGTAGGCGAAGCGGACCCCATGACCCCCCTCCGGGAGTGTCCGCGCGCGCGAGAGGAGGTGGACCTCCGAAGTGTAGTGCTGCAACTCCTGGATGAAAAATCAGCCAAGGTGGTCCAGGACGAGTGGAAATGAAATTATCTGAAATGCATTGAAATTCGATAAGCCGGAGTTCGCATATTGTAGCAAAAACAGCGTTGACTGGAGGCCTGGCGTTTCTTGTATTGTTGCTGTGTTTGATGGAGTGTGTCTCATTGAAAAGGACAACCAAGGCAAATTGCAGGATTGTCAGGCTTTTGCTCATACTCTTATGTAAGCTTGAAATCCACCACCTTACATATTATTTGTTTGATCACTGATTGACCTCCCTTTCCTGCGCCGTCTCCAGTGCAGCATTGCCTTGGCCCAGCACAAGCACCGCCTGACCTTGGAAGGCCTCGCCTGCGAGGGATGCGAGTGGACCGACAGCCCTGGTCCATCGATTTTTTGACTACAAAACTTGAGGCCAAGGGGGGGGGGGCGAAAGCTAGCGCTCCAGAATGGGAAAGTGGAGGGCAGCTTCGCTAGCTTTCGTGACTAGGCCAACCCTTTTGTAAGTCATCTTGGAAGGCTAGGGATCAGTTAGGGGATGCAGGTGGGACCTGGATGGTCCGTTCCAGCGGATGATGTTGTTGATGAACAAAGGCCTCTGTTCAAAGCTTATATTGTAAGCCTTTCCGTCGTTCCGTTGCAGAAAGGGGCAGCCTCCAACGTGCAAAACAGATTTGAAGATCGCCCATTCGACCCATTCGTCATCTAGCAACAGTCAAAGAAACAGTGCTTAGGGATTGGAACATCAGAAGTCAGGTGCCATGGCCATGTTGCCATGTTGCACACACACCAGTTCCAGTTGGTGAAGGAACGTCATGGATCCTCGGGTCAACTCACACGGCCACCGGGTCGAATGGCACCCCGAGTCGGACTGTGGAGCAGTAGACCAGGTCGGCTTCCACACTACCCCACACGACCGAAAAAGGCTTCCAAACAGGGCACCCCGACAGGAGGCTCCTGGTACAGACCAGTGGTTTCTGGATGAACATCTCCTTACATCGATCCATATCGATCCGAAGCTCATCGAGCTTCCACCGATCCGCCGGCTTCGATGGCGGTCCGTCGGTCCGTCGGTCCGTGACCAAAGCGCGCTTCTTTCACAGCTCCGAGCCTTGTCACTCGGTCTTGAGGGATCGTCATGGAGGAAGATCCGTGTGGATCTTCTGGGAGCTTCAACCATGCGGATCGTAAGCTGTCGCCGCGGCCGCATGCGTCATCAGGTCGTTTTCAGGTCTTCTCATGTCCTTCTCCACTTCCTCAAGCTAAATTTGTCTGACTCTCGCTGGTCAAAAACACGAAGTTGGCGGCCCAAAATGCCACACAGCAGACATGACCTCAGGATGGCTACCCAGCTCATCTCAAGGCTGGCCGGAGCTTTGACATGTCACGTCTTCCACCAGACATCTCTGTCCATCTCTAAGCTGTGGGATTTAGCGACAAAGCCTACCCGTCTGCCGAAGCCCGGAGGAGCACACGAAACTCCAGGGAAAACCGCGGAGAGTGGGTCACTTGTTCTGCATTTTGGAAGCGAAAGCAGCCATGAACCACTGCGTCAGCACCGGTTGATTGGAAGATCAGCGCTTGATCTCCTCTCAGATTTGGTTGGTACCGAACGCTGACATCGTTCATGTCCTCCAAGCTTAACCTTGGCAAATCCTGCCCAGCAACCATACGCCCATCCCTTGCAAGAAAACCCAAGTTGAAATCTGAAATCGGTTCCTCGGCAAGGTTCAACCACACATTCACTTGAACCCCCTCCTCAATTGAAGCGGTATTTTGTTTGTGATCAATATGAAAGGTGCTGTAGAAGCGTTGCCAGGTCTTAGCCGGCTCCTCTGCTCCCGCAAATCGTGCCAGCACCTTACCATGATGCGAGGCACTCTCGCTGGTGACTTCAATTGGGCAAGCAAATTGCGGCTGCAACTTCGTCTGCAGCCAGGCCGCCACGCAGCCGCGCTCCCTTGCCACCAGGGAACTGTGCATCTCATCCATGTCAAGGCCCTTCAAATAAAGCTCCCGAGTCCCAGTAATCAAGGGCCAAAGATCTTCCGCAGACTCCACTTGCACGCGCTCCATGGCAAACTGCGGAAGCTCCCTGAAGGCCAAGACCTTGACCTTAAGGCAGCGCCGGTGATGGTGCAAAGACCTAAGCAAATATTTTGTGATATACTATCACTACTCCCTTACCCCGGGGGGGGTCAGGCACCGCAAGGGGGAGTGATGATAGACTACTTCCCAGAACTTGCTTGCGTTCAGGGCTTACCTCTTCGGGGCAAAAAATCACCATAGACATCGAGGAAGAAGCACCCCATCACCCATCCCACTCACATGGCAAAGCCTGCTGCCAGGTGGACCGATCCCCGAAGCTTGTGCGCTAAACAATCGACCACGATGGAGGCCTCACCATCGCCCTCGCGGGGACGCTCACAGAGTTGATCCTCCTTCCAGCCATGGCGTGGACATTCGCCGGCGGTCATGGATGACTCCAAGGATAGGAGAAAAAGTCATATGGAATCACCTCAGAGGCCTCTTCTATTGGCAAGTGCTCTGTAGAACTGTAGAATGGAGAGGGCAAGGTTTGGGTGTCTTGATGTGTCTTGTGTGGTGCAAGGTTTGTCAATCTACCTGAGGAGCTCTCGCCCTGGCTCTGAGAGCCATTCTTTTGAGGGATGAAGCCTGCGGGCAATTGCAATCCTTCAGATATTGAAAGATTAACATCATGTTAGATGTCCAAAGGTGCTTCAACTATCTAAGTCGTACAATCCTGATATTGAAAGTCCAGGATTACTTAATAGTACGAGTGTTCTACTTCGCTCTCGACCCTCGCGCCAAGAAATCAGCCAAATTACAGGACATCCCCATGCCGCTGTCAGTGTCCAAAAGAACATGGACCTTGGGAAAGCAAGTTCAACACCTTGGGTTCTGCGTCTCCAAGTTCACACGCCTGAAGCTGGCAAGGCCTCGTAGCCCAGCAGCAAATGGCCTCGGAGGGAAGTCTGCCAGCGTCAAGGGAAGCGCGGGAATTATATAACTGGCCCATACCTCAAATACGACTGACTTCGGAGATCATTGTCCTCTACAGTAGGCTGCAGAAAACTCCACTAGCATCACAGTGGTGTCCTGTGGTTTCTACCTGCCTGTGGTACAAACTAGTTCCTGAACGGTTGTTGATGGTGGCCACCTGCAATAGGCAATGGGTGGCTGATAGTATGCATATATATATAAGATTCGCAAACTCTGGGACACTTCCTGGGTGACATGACTACGCGTGATTCTTGAAACACACTTTTGATAAACGTGCCACAGACTCGCAACCATGGAACAATGATGATTACCCAGTGACAAATCCACTGGTCACATCTCGACGCAACTGAGCCATCCAACACTCGATCGTCGTCACTTTGCTCACCTTTTTGGGCCTTTGAACAACACAAGCACTGCCACCTATCACCAAGCACACCAATCGGGCACCCCGCCTTCCCATTCCCCAATTTCCCTATAATTGACCCTCAGGATGTTCCATCCAAGACTCCAAGAGCCAGGGATTGGTTGGAGGTACAGGTAGAGTAGAAGCAAATTGAATTTCTACTTGATTCTACTCTAATTACATGTAGCTCCAACCAATCCCTGACTCTCTTTCCATCCCTCAAACATCTCAAACACCTACCGCCCCGCCCCGCTCTCACTGGGCCCAGGGGCTGCCATCCACCTTGGCATCAGCTGGCCGCGGCCGGTGGAAACCCGTCGCCAAGATGAGCTCCCGGCAGACCGCATCACCTGCGCAGTGAAGAACATGACTCGCAGGAAGGGCCGCAGGGAGGTGCTCCTACCAGTAGTCACAAAGGGGCGGTGTTTTTTGAATGGGCACCCCCAACCTCCATTAAGCACCCCTACGGAACTGCTGGTATAAGAACACCATCTTAGCGTAACCCTAGAAGTCCAGTTCGACTATAGTTTGACCGACCGAAGGAAGTTCTTTTTTTCGGGTGACCCAAAGGCCATTATTATGTTTAGTTTATAGTTATCGACTACCAGGGGTAAGACATCGGGACAGGTGAATTGAAACGAACGCTGGCTGTAGCTGGATGTTGCCTTCCCAGAAATCCCGAAACCTCAATCAGTGTCAAGGCCCTCAACACCCTCCCCTGCGACAGGCCCACACAGCCCACCTATGACCAGCTTCAACTCGAAGCCGTCTTCTGTACGACGTACCTTGAAGCTGGGAGAACCGTTGAAACGTGCTTCTTAGATCTTCTTAGACCATCTGTGGCTATTCGTGACTTTGAATCAACAAAGCACTTGCCATGCACCAAATGGCCTGATAACTCTGATACAGTAAATGGGCAAGCCTACAAAGCATAATTGGGCACAACTTCCTTAGTTGCACCTTGCAAACTGATTTGCAAAGGAACATCATCAAAATAATATGTTAACAATGATACGTTCTTGGCATGGGCTCTCTTGTGCTTCTCTTCCGTGGTCATCGGCTACTGCCATCTCTGCTGCAATGCAATGCACCGGTTCCGGTAGAACGCTGCAGTAAAGAATTGGATGGGTGCTTCCTAATCACAAAGAATCGCCTCGCAAGAACATGTTGCCCCAATTCTTGAAGGGGGTAGCCTGTAAGCCGCTTTTTGCTGAAATGTAAATCGGTGGAACAATTTTATGCAATGCAGTCCCCTGCCTGCAGGTGTGTGTGTGTGTGTGCGTGTGGAAGTTGGTGGCATTCCTTGCGCTAAAGAAAGGTTGCTGTATGGAATTAGGAAATTGTACCTTCTTCCCTTGAATTGAGCTATGCCAATCTTGTTTCAGATCATCTCATATGTTTGCAGGGCAAACCGGATTTCTCTCGTTCCTAGAGGAAATGCCCCCCTTTCCACCCCATCCCGCTTACAACGGAACATGTAACATGTTCACATGTCATGGCTTTTCCATCCCCTTTCCATGGTACCTTCATCCCACAGCGACGCGACGCGACGCGAGCGTGTCGACTTCATCGACCGACCTCACCAGAAGCATCGGGCCTTTAGGACCTCGGTGGAGTAGCGGATATGATCCTTCCTGAGAAGCGAAGCGAAGCAGCTGACCAGCAGGGATGAGCGAAGCTGGGGAGATGGTCCACCAATTGGGGTGAAAACCATTCTTTGCGTGTGGACCACGTCGTGACCATCAAATGCGGTGGACCATTCACTGCAGAATGCACATGGCACTTCATGGCACTTCAATGGCACATGGCTCAAGCATGCAAGTTGATCTGTTCGCTGCACATCATGTCATGTGACAAGGTCCATTGTCCATGACCCGTCCGATATTACCGTTCGTCTCTGCCCAAGAGGCTGTTCCAAGGCGAAGTCCCTCAAGTAGTCCACTAAGACGGAGGCCTTGGTTCGCCCACGTGGATGGCCAAATCCATATCCAGCTGGCGGGTTGGTTGGTTTTTTTTCTTCACCACGTCCTCGAACGGTTCTCTGCTCACCCTTTTGATGCACACTCCGCCACCATGGAAGTGGAAAATACAACCCCCTAGGAGTCCAGTCGACCATTTTTAAAATGGTCTTGAGGTGATCCAAAAAGGAACTTCCTTTACTTCGGTGGTGCCGAAAATAGTCTTTGGACTTCTAGGGAGCCTGTTTGTAGAGGAGACTCGTATACAATTGTCATTCGAGGGTCCATGAATCTTTCAGGGTGCCACTACCTACTAGGTACTGGTCCTGGTTTACACCCTTGCAGACCCTTGCAAGCGCGAAACCGAACATGAATCGAGGTCGTGAACATGGCCCGAATTGGTTTTTGGAGGGAAAAGCCTCCTCTCTTGCCAAGTCGCATGTGGGAAAAGCTCCTTCGAGCGCGCTGTGACTGGGGTCGTTCGTGCTGATTCCTGTCGCGGCCACCCGGCTCTTTACCGGCCCAGCGGCCAAGAATATCTTCTTCCAAAAGCCGCTGGTGACTCCCATTGAAGGAAATCATAGGAAATCATCCGAAGAATCCCTGGAGATGGGGTTCGAGACCTAATCGTTTTACTGATGAATCTGAGGTGCAGCCGGTGGTCTGGCTGCAAGCAAGTGGCTCTGGAGGCCTTCTGGGTCACAACGATCTCTTGGGTTTCCCTCTTCTTCAACCTGCTTCATGCCCTCCAATCCCCGCACATGGTACACCTAGACGGTGGTTGCAACGAGGAATCGCCCTTCAGGACTCCCAAACAAACTGAAAGAACATGGCGGAATGACACGGACATACTATGCGACATGTGGTTCAACATCAGAAAGGAAAAACGCAGAAAGCCAACAAACAATGGGCCAGTAGTCACAAAGGAGTGCTTAATGGAGGTTAGGGGCGCCCCCCAAAACCACCCCTTTGCGAGTCTTTTGGGCTTTTGGGCCTACATCTGGGGCTCCCCGGGGCTCCCCTGCGCTTCCCTGCCAGTACCAGCCAGCAGCCTCCAAACACTCAAAAAAACCCGCCGACCTCCTTCAGGTCGATCAAGCTGTTCCAGTCATGACGGAAGGCAAAGTCCTTCGTGCGGCCCTCTCGCACGGTCCTCGAGGATTTTCCGGTCTGGAGGTTCCAGACTCGAGGTTTGCGCGTCTCAAACTTGATCAAACAAAAACATAATACAAATTAATATAGAACTGCTCAACCTTCACCTTCTTTTCCTTTCTCCACCTGTGGTCAATTACTTGCGGCATGTATTTGTGTCTAGGTGACATAATAGCTACCCTCCCTGCAGAGTTCACCGCCCGAAGGCAGCGCGTTTCCCTGCAAGGCTCCGCTTGTTGAGGGAGATGAGCCGCCGATGCCGAGGATACTGCTCGAAGAAGCTCCCCGCAGCGGCCGCCCTGCGAGTCGTGAGACATGGAGCGCGAAGCGAGACGACGCAACGGTGGAAGCAGCTACGAGGATCGCTGCCACCTCTCATCGACCAACGTGTTTGGATATAGTCAAACTCCCAAGAAATCGGGATCCTGAATCCCAAGTACTAGTGGTGTCAGAGTGATATCAAACGGCAAATTCCTATATACAGTTACATAAATTTTGGATGGGAGTCCATGTAAACCACCTTTTTGGGGATTGTACCATCTACTCTGAAACCACTGTAAATGTTGTGGGTGCATTCGCATGGCCATGCCTCTACATCGTTCTTTTCTCGCACACCCGCACAAACACACGCCACGAGTTCGCAATCGCAGGTCGCCTCTCAAAAATGACATAGTCCCGCTGGGCATGGAACAAGAAGTGACCCAGTTGCAAGCCAGCAGGCCCCGCGCCTGCCCAACTTGAGGCCAGTGGGGGTGAACGAAAGCTAGCCGGGCTTCCGGTGGTCTGCTGCTGCTGCTGCTGCTGGTGCTGCTGCTGCCGCTGCTGCGCTGGGCGCTGCTGCGCTGGGTGCTCTGCAGGCGCCGGGTCGTCTGCTGCTGCTGCTGCTGGCGCTGGGTGGTCTGCTGCGGCTGCTGCTGCTGCGGCGTTGGGTATGCTGCTGCTGCTGCCGCCGCTGGGTGGTCTGCTGCTGCTGGTGCTGCTGCTGCTGCTGCCGCTGCTGCGCTGGGCGCTGCTGCGCTCGGTGCTCTGCTGGCGCCGGGTCGTCTGCTGCTGCTGCTGCTGCTGCTGCTGCTGCTCTGGGTCTGCTGCTTCTGCTGCTGCTGCTCCTTTGTGGTTTGCTGCAGCTGCTTGGTGGTAGACTGCAGATGCTTGGTGTGCTGCAGCTGCTTGGTGGTCCCGCTCACCGCGCGCAGGGGGGAGTCGAACCGCGGGGGGGGGGGGTCCATAAGATTGATTTAATCAATTATTTGAGGTTTCTGAGGTGCGTCCACCCCGTCACTTAACTTGCTAAAGCAAGAGCAACTCCAGCTAGCTAAGGCTAGCTTTCGTGAAAATCCTAAAGGAACACAAGAAGACTTCCATCGAACCAAATTCCTTCTGTCTGTCTGCCCCCCTCTCTCTCTCTCTCTCGCTCTTGTCCAGCTGGAGAACACAGCTGTCCCATCGGAACCCTCTGACAGGCCAGGCTGTACTGACCTAGAGCTTTCCCCTCCTCTCTCGTTTCATCTCGGAACTGGTGATGAAGTTGGGGAAGGGGCATCCCAGGGGCCGTGGCTGGGTTGCCGATCCGTCGGGAACTCTTCTGCAAGCACAAGCTGCTGCAGGAAACGATCCGGAAACGGGGTGGGGCAACTTGTGATTGGCTGCTGATGCTACTGGTAGTGAAACTGTTCAATGCACTCCTTAAGCCGCTGGTCGAGCCAGTAGCCTACAATGCATCTCAGTAGGATAGTAGTGAGTTGGCAAATGAACATAGGGGCCAAAAACTAGTAACTAGCAGGTCGATGCTCGTTCTGTTCACCAACCCTCGGGTGGATAGCTGGAAACATCCCTACATCATGTGAGAAAAAAAAAGAACATCATGCATGTGCACAGGTTCTTCCAGCCAGAACTTATACGGTGACACTGTGAATCTCAAATATATTATTGTAATTCTGGCCTAGTCACAGCATTATTGCTAGCAGCAAGCAATGCATGCAAGCAGTGTGAATCCGACTCCTGCTTCATTGCCAACACGCCTATGATGCAATATTGGTGCTGCTTTGCCAGAACCCCAGCCAGGAGCAACAGCCAACGCCCCACCAAAACCATCGCGCAAATGGTGCAAACGCTTCATGCAGTTTCAGCTCAGTCAGTTGCAGTGTGATGCGCTACTGACCTGATCTGCCCTGCCTATTGATCCTCGCGATGTTGGAGGCTATGTTTATCTATTTTCAAGTCGAATCAGTAGGAGACCCGGCCTGTGGATGGCCAATGGCAGGAACTGGCGGCTTGGAGTAGGATTCTCGTCTGAATGACACAAACGCTAATGACATGGGTGATTGATGGCCTGCCTCGCACCACCTACTCAGTGGAGGGGACATTCGCCCGAATCACTTCTCAGTGACGAATGGTGGATGGCTACCCCAAGGGAAAGTTCAATGGATGCTTCGTCCTCCAGTTCTGAGTTTGGTTTCTTTTCCAACGTGTGGTTCATGCACTGCTATGATTGCAAATTTCGGTTTTGACTTGATGACGTTGGAACTCACGGATAAAACATGCGTCCTGAGGCAAATGCCTTTGGAGAAACATCTCAGAGCTTGCAAGTGGAGAATCAATGGCAAACAAATTGAAGAGTGAAAAGGGCACACATCGTGGCAAGACGATTTGTTTCCATGTGTCATGTCTTTCCATGGTAAACTGCTTGAACTCCTAAGATCCTATAGGTTCATCAGCGTGAGTGTTCCACTCTCAGAATGCCCGAAAAGTCAACTGCTGCTTGTCACAGCTTTTAATTTTTTTCGCTGTCAGGGTCGTTCATTCCTCAAGGCGTCCAACATCGAGTGTTTCGACATGTTTCGACGGCTCAGTTCCAGTGTCTTCAGATGCTCAAACCTCTCTGGGCAAGCCTCGCTTCGCAAAGATGGTCCTCATGATGCTGGCTTCTCAGATGGTCTCATGATGCTCCTCGCGCCTCCCAGTAGGTGCTCCCAGTAGGTCTTCCCAGCTCTTCCCAGTAGCTCCATCTGTGGCATCCAGCAATCTGCATTCCACTCCAGCGGATCTGCCGTGTTGTCCGATGGGGACAACTCAAGCACTCGCTCATGTGTCATTGATCTCTTGAAGGATGGCACTGATCTCCACAGATCTCTCAACAAATGGCTTGTAGGAAGTGCCAACTGAACAAGCCCTGCGAGCGGCACTGCGGCGCTGCGGCGCTGCTGCGCGGCGCCGAGGCGTGGACCGAAGTTCAGAACTGCTGCGCTACGCATCGCTACGCAGGCGACGCGAAAGAGAAGCAGAAACGCTGATCTTCGCTTCCTGCGCAGGCGCGCACGCTTCCTGCGCAGAAGCGCCGGGACTTTGGACAAGGGAGCCTCACATGAAGTCTTGGGGGCAAAAAGAACAGCACTATGGCTTCTCAGGTGAACCTTGGATGATCTTTGATTAGATATTATATACAGTAACGTAGAATGACAAGGTGGCAGTTACATGCAGTGATTAGAGCCGTTCAATATCTGTCAATCTTGAAATTGCGGCATGCTACGCCAAAAGATGCCAAAAGTGTCAGATTCAGGTGACAAGACCTTGCTGAAGTGGGCAACCCTGTGTCTTCCAATCATCTTCCATCAATATGCAATTTGACTCCAGCCCTCCCCTCCCAAACGTCCTTCATTCTCAGCTTCTTGGACTTCACCCCTCACCGTGCCGTCCACGCGCGGCTGGCGCCGCGGCGAGTCACTCGCCCGCCCGGAGGGGCCACCCACTCCTGGGGCACCTTGGTGAGCCGCGATGCATCGTAGCCTGCGGCGCCACGCGCGTCCACCACGCGCACAAGGATGAAGGCACCGGGCGGTGTCGGCGACGGCGGGAAACGTGGATGGAGAACCGATGCGGAGGGCCAGGTAGTCGATTGGGAGAACGAGGACCGAAGCGGAAAGCGTTGAGTTGTTGGACGCCGTGTTTTCTTGGGGTTGTGGGGTTCGAGTCCACCATACTGCTGCTGTACCTGAAAAATCAAGGGGGACCCAAAACCCAAGTGTGGGTCACTGACAAACTCTGGCAGAATGGGTAGTGCTAAGACCAAACAACTCAGGCACCACAAGTCTTGAATTGATTTCTCCAGGTGATCGCGCCTGATTTCTCCAGGTGATCACGCATCTTCTGCAGCACTTCACCCTCCAACCAGTGCTGCCGAGACATGAGCCACAGCGACTGACCATCACTGGTGCCCAGGATCACCGCCTCAAAAACGAAAAACACATCGAAGCTAAAATGCAATGACGAATTGAATATTTACCATGGGCTTCCACAGGTCTAGCTCTCAGCCTCATGTGAATCTCCCGAACTTTGTTCACCCATGTTCACCCTGAAGCTCCGGGCGGAATCTCTGACATCTAAAAGCACCCCAAAACGACCTGCCATGACGCCTGCCGACTCGCCGACCTCGCGACCTGCCTTCTCAAAGGGGAAAACATGGGAAAACAAGGGCCGCTGAACCCCGGCCGCGGCCGGCGGAACCCTTCGGAACGGCCACCCACACACCGAGCTCTCCGCTCCTTGACGTGCTCGGCGCCTCGGCGAGGAAGTGGTGAATGCGAATGGGTGATCGATCCGAATCATGAATTATGGTTGCTGACTTTTTTGCTCCAACACGACACATGGGACTGCCATAGATGCCGATCAATTGACCCCAAAACCACCCCAACTGATCGGCGTATATGGCAGTCCCATGGAGTGTCTGGGTAATATATATATATATTATTTATATATATATATATATTTATGTGAATTGATTTGTCAAACTTAACCTCCCTTGTGCGGTCAGCTGTGTGGTTTTCAAGGAAGGTCCTCTACCTGCCAAGAAAAACTCGATCTCCGTGTCAATTGGGGCGCCAAAAATTGACAGCTGACATGCTTCAAACTTCGTGCAACGGTGAAAGCATGGTCATCAAACTGCACAGCATGTTCATCCCCAAACCACTGGAATTCTAGCATGTACCCAGTTGTGATCCCGTAGATAATCCATAGATGGATGGTCTGGGATCGCGATGAAAATTGGCGATGACATTACCATTGCATCTATAGCGTGGTCCCCAATAGATAGTGGAGCGGTTTACAATAGATTTTTGGTTGGGATCTACTGGTTACTGATCTACTTTTCTATCTATTTGGGTGGGGGGTCCACAGTGGCTGTTACCAAAGCACCCGCCTAAGTTCCACTGCTTCAGTGTGCTTTGTCCCCCCCATCGGGTTTAAAAATGCATCCTGAGCCTTCGGCAGTAGAGCAGAACATAGTCCGGACACCTGGGTCAATTGGAGGTCTAGACACCTGAGGTTGTTGAAAGATCGAAAGTTAGGCCTCGTTCAGGTCGCGGCCTCTCCAGGCAGCATCAGATCCTCTGAGCATCTCATGATGGGGGGCCCTGGAGGCCTTCTTCGCATCAGCCGGTACAGTACCATGTGCATGCCAGCTTCTGGAAGTGGTATGGGTGTCCTATATAAGGACTCCTAGCTCACCTCCTCCTAGCTCAAGACAAGGGTGATGTGGATCGTGGCAGGACAGTGATCTTCACCCGTTGACGTTTCGAAACGTATGGGAACAACCTTGGGAGTATGACTTTGCAATCTCTGTCCACTATGATAAATAAAAGAATGTAAGGGTGGAGCTCACATGGTAGCTGATCAACTTTCTTTCATGATGGAATGGCCACTCCCGGATCTTTCACGGATGGTTTGAACATGTTTGGACAGCATCTAAGGATATCTAAGGGGTCATTTGGTATAAAACCCCTTGCACGGCCCTTTAGATCAACTCCCACATAGAAAGAACTGTTTTATCCTGTGAAGCACGACATCCGCATGACAACAACAACTTGTCACATGTTGGGCTTCTGAGAATGCCCTCGATTAACTAAATGGCCAGGCTCGTTCTTGGTGCTCAGTTCATTTGGGCTATCTGAATTTCTCAAGTTGTTATAAGCCTCCTGTATCATCATCTGCTTAGGCTCACCTGGGCCTCAAATACACGAATGGACACCACGATCCATGCAACAGCCCGCAAAATGGGTCTTGCGAACTCAGAACTGGCATCCATGAAACATCTCATGTCATGAAACAAAACAACAGCCCAGCGTCTCAGGATCAACCCGATTTGGTTTGGCAACTGTTCCAAAAGGACCGTTGAATGACACACCCTAAATCACACAAATCCACTGGGATTTGTTCACCCTCTCCTCATCTTGGGTCCCCTGTCCCTCCCTCCGAAACCGCTCGGCGACTCACACTGACACTGGGCTCCCCCGGCGACCCGCTGGGCAGGCCCAGTAGCGGCTTCCGGCACCACGTGCTGCGGCCCAAAGGTACCAAACGTTCCTGCAGAAGCCGCGGAGAACGGGAAGGGTCTGCGGAGAAACGGCCTCTGGCCCCCCCTTCCGAGCGGGTTTAGGGGGGAAGACATGCACCTTGATGAAAGGCCGAGGCATGTCTGAAAAGCAGGTAGTACATGGCAGTACAGCCAGGATTGCACAGGCCATGCATTCTTGAAGAAGATTCATCTCTTCTGCAAGCTTTCGGAACTTGAGGACGTGTTCCTCGACATGTCCACTTTAACAGTTTAACAGTTGAACTACACAGTTGAACAGGACCTTCTCTAAAGAACAATTCTCCCACAAAATCCAATACCTAGCACTTCCAATGGGTGCCCTGTCTGGAGGGCCTGCAAGTAAGGTAGGGTAGTCTAGCTAGGACACCCAGACTCAGACAGGATGAGACCGACACCTTGCGACCCCCTGGGTTCGGTGCAGGCAACCAGTCGATCCACCCGAGGACCACACGGTGCCCCTCTTCAAAACACAACAAGTCATTAAAAAGTCATCAAAAATCCATCAAGTTAGCGCCCATACAATTACCTCTCCGCTCCTGGACGCGTTCGAAAGGCACCTCCCCCACACACTGCGCCCACCGCACGACGAGGTCGGTCGGCCTCCGAGATGAAGCGCCGGTCGCCCCTCCGGCCCAAGGAGCGCGCGAGGATGAAGGACCTAACGACAGCGAGACCGGAGCGGTCAACGGATCTGGGTTGATGCAAGGCACAAAGGGTTTTCCAGGTCACACCATGGAACGGCATGAAGATCATGAACTAACATGAACCAACTGGAATGACATGGAAGGACAGCTGCTTCCACGTGGCTTCTGCTTTTTGTTCAGTGTGCCAAGCAAACCTCACAAGGTACCAACCAACGTTAAATACATCAATGTGCTTTCTTTCTTGCTGCCACTAGTTGGTTTTTGGACACACACCAAGGCTGAACACACCATAGCAAACTCATCCAGTCAAGCTACTCCGTGGCATCCCAGCCGTATTCTCTCACCAAGTTGGTCTCCCCCTCCTCGCGGTCTGACATGGAGCTGGTCGGTCTGTCTGGTGTGCCCTCTGGGCTATCAGTCGCAGCGGGTCAAAGAGAGTGTCAACCAGCCAAAAGTTGGGGTGCCACGGAGATCTGCTATCTGAGATTCTCAACTGAACGGTTGAAGTTTGCCGCTTGCATTGCACGTATATAGTATGTACCTATATAAAACATAAATAAAACCCAGGAATTCCAACAAGCACCTATTGCCCATGTTAGATAGAGTTGGGTCAGCAACTTGTCTGTTGAAGAAAGGCTTCAAGGTCCACAGCGCCAGGCTGACAGTGGGCGTTTCCGTTGCCCGCAAAGGTGGGTGAAGCTCGATCTATCTCTTTCTAGGTTCAGAATCAAGTACTTGGATGACTTTTTGTTAATGCTTCAAGCAGCCATGTGGTACAAGTACGAGCCGGTAGCCTACTACTTGGATAAAAACGGATGAACATTAATATGTCCCACCCAGCCCCAAAAAGGCCAAATCCCTTCCCCATCTCCGCCCCATGGTCCTCCAAGTTGGCTCCAATGCACCAAATCACGTACCTCGTGAAGCTCAAGCTGCAAGCTGCAAGCTGCGGTGGTTTCGGTCGCGATGGACCACGTGATCTGTCCCCCTCACCACCGCAAATCCATGCTTTGGCTCGAGCAGGGATCGTGTAGATCTCTTGGGGATGAAAGTGCCAAGGTTCAAGCACCGTGGAACATCAAATCCCCATCAACTTCAACACGGAAATCCCCCATCTGGGCTGGTCCTTTGCTTTCGGCGCCAACTTGGCGATGTCCTCCCACCTCCTCCCCGTTCCCGGGCCAAGCGTGCCAACGGCCCAAGATCCTCTCCAAATCCAGGCCGTTCTCCTCCTTAGCTGCTCGCCGCTGCTGGCACGGGCAAGTGGACGACGATGGTCCCATAGGAGGGTGACCCGGATGGATTGGCTGGAACAAAGTGAGGCATCCAATTATATTCTTAAATATATGAAATGTATACCATGCATATACCGATATAGTGGCATCAGACTTCACCAATAATGGCATTATGGTAAGGAAGGAGAGTTTACATGCTTACACCATGCATCACCATACCATACCCATGACCCCACGTGTTCCACCTCTCTAAAGAAAGAAGGACAAAAACATTAGAAACGGAAACAGCACGAGAACACCTGGCCATGTCTTCTGCATTTCTACCCCTCTGGCGGCCGAGGCCGCCAGGCCTCCCCAGGCCGATCTCTTCGGACTTGCCCAGACTCCGCAACTGCTTCCCCGGCGCCTTTGCGCCTCAGCGCCGGGTTCTTGGGGTGTCCAGCTGCCAATGCAAAAAAGCCCCCAAAGCGTGCACCGAGAGCCTCTGTCTTTTGGCAAGTTGGTTTTTTGCACACCAGGAGCGCACCTCGTAGATAGGGTGGGTCTACTGGTGGGTATCTGTGATTGTGGATGGATGTGGCTGCCCCGATGTGAGACATGCCCACATCGTGAGCTTCGTTCAGGCTTGGGCCTGGCAGAAATAAGGTCACTGAATAGCCAACTGGAGTCATCATGATTCATCCTGGCAGTCTAGTTGGCTTTCTTAAACTTGTCTGACTAGGTGATTCGCTCCAAAAAAATCGTCTTTGGACTCTGGTCTTTTTGGGTTTCCTCTAGTGCATCTTCACCTGGCCACCTTTGCATCTCAAAGCTTTCCTGTACCATTCAGGCCAATGAACATGGCCAGGTGAACGCCCGGCATAGCTTGAAAATAGCTCTGCCCCAAAAGGGGCAGAAAAAAGGGCTAACAATCCCTTAGCATCCTCCAGGATCACCTACTCTTCAAGCTTGCCAGGGTTCTCCTAACATCTCCAAGCTATCAACACACAAACCCACAAGATTATATGATCCCATGAGATCCCATGAGCCAAAACTACATCCATTTTGCCGTCCACCTGCGCACGCTGTTGGTGAGACCTCGAAACCGCGACCGGTTTTCGAAAGGGCCTGGATGGTTCAAAAATTGTGAGGGCTGAGGGTTGCTGAGTTTTGGCTTGAGTATCCTTAGTATCCCTGAGTATCCTTGAGTCCTTTGAGGAAACACATGTCACCCGAAAAAACCGAAAACCAAAAAAGAACACCTCTCAGCTGAGAAGCATCAATGGTCGGTGGCCAACGGTCCACTCCTTGGATGTTCTTTGCTGCAAACGAACGGTGCAGCGCAAGGAGAAGCACTCTTTTGCAAAAGGATCAGTTGACTACCATCTGTGCTTCAACATCTTGGGGACAATGGGAGCCAAGAAGGGCCTACAAGTTCATCAAATTATACACCCTATACTACCATTTGACTGGATACAGTGTAACCTGCTAGCAAATTGTAAAACACACAGTTGCGTATGGTCCGACAGACCAATCCAAGAATGTGTAGTGCGGCCACAGTTGGAGGTGAGTGGCTCAACAGGATATGGTCGGGTTAGTTAGTGGCATCAAAATTCATCAAAATTTGCATCGGGACATATCGGGACTCGGGACTGCCCATCTGTTTGCAAAACAGGCACCTCCAAGTGAAGCACCAAAGCTTTGCATTCCGCAATGCCTCAGCCGGTGAAGTCAGGCACCCCACCCTTACATTGGTTTTTGGTGCATGCTGGCGGGCCAACATGGACAGCAGGTTGAAGAGGCTGAAACCCAAGTGGTGGTGGGCTTGTTGGGGGTTTGGCGGGTTGGCTACGCATGGCCGCATGGCCTTGGTGGGAGGCTTCTTGCACTACAGTTGGGATGTCAAAACCATGCCCTGGCACAAAAGCCATATCCATATATACTTGAATTGTGCCACCCCATCCACCTTGATGTGACGCGAATCCATTTCCTCATGACCACTTTGAGTGCAGCGAGTGGCTGTTCTTCGTCGCCTCACCCTCGGTGAAGAATGGGCCTAGGGAGAAGGAAAGCAGCAAACCTTCATGGTCCTCCTGCATGGTGTGCTAACGTGATGCATGTTGATCCTGCTTTTTTACATGTGCCCTACAGTCAACGGACGTGTGTGCTATCGTCCTTTGACGGGTCTTCGAGGCCCGAGCCATGGGCTAGGGATTCTGAGTGTATTGTGAGGCCCCTTAGTAGTGGGCTGGGGCTTCCATTACAACTGACCCCTCAAAGAAGGTGCTGGTAGCTAGGACTGTCACCTATAGATACAAACCCAGACACGTCTGGGACTGCCAGACTGCCGATCAGTGGGGGGTGGTTGACATGGGGGTCATTTGATTGCCATGGTATATGGCAGTCCCAGACGTGTCGTGGGACTGGGTCTTATGCGAGAGAAAGTGATCAGCATTTAAAAAACGGTTTGAAGGCACCTGTTCAGGTGCTAAGAGTTGTGCGAAGCGCCATGAAGCACCTACCTCTGACATCCTTTTACAAGAACCTGCTTCATCGGAACAGACCTGCAGAACTGAGTGCGAAAATGGGACAACTCAGGAATTCATCACCAGGCCAAAGCGAGGAATTCGACAGGTTCTCGAACCTGCCTGCTTGGCATGTCTTGAGAACTTGCTTCATCCGAAGGTCAGCCTTCAAAAGTGGCTTGCACCAGGTGCGGCTGCTCCGCCCATCATGCGCCGCCGGTGCGAACCGGACTTGGCGAGCTGGCCTGCGAGGTGCTTGGGCTGCAGGATCTTGTCCAAGTAAAAGCCACCTGCACGTTTCGCCGGACAGCTGGCTGCTTCTAACCGCAACACTCCCCGCGAGAATCCCGTCAAATCCTGGCAGAGGCATGTCTCCTTCAGCCATGCACCACCAGGTGGTTCCAGCCAAGGCCGCGGCCCGACTCGAGGTTGCGTGGACGGGACACGCAGAGCCAAAGGAGCCCCTGGCGCAGTGGCAGTGGAATTGCTGATCGGATGTGGCAGGGGCAGTGCCTTCAGCAAAAAGAGACAGGAGTGTTGAATCATGTTGAATCGATAATATGATCTGCAATGACATCCGAGAACTATGACAAGATCTTACTGATCCGACAATAGTCAATGGATTAAGTTATATTACCCAAACACTCCATGTATGCCATATATGCCGATCAGTTGGGGTGGTTTGGGGGGGTCAATGTAGCCATATCTGGCAGTTCCAGACGTGTCGTGTTTGGGTTAATCATATCTCGTCTGATAACATCCGTTTATGAAACGATCTCAGCGTCTGCCACAACAACATCCGGAGTACATCCGATCCTGCACTCGGAACCGGTCCCGTGTGGCTTCCGTCGGGCCGGACGGGCAGAACCCACATAGCGCATGGCGAGACGCTGCTTGCTTCTTTCGAGGCGTTCGCGGAGAGAATCTGTTGATCTGTATGCTCTCCCAATGGTGACGCAAAACGCACATCTAGATCGGCAAATGTGCACGATATTGAGGGCTCCAACCACATCCTCAGAAGCTACGGACAAACACCACAGATTGACCCCAAGCTTCAAGACCCGAGCGGAGCGACGATATCCAAAGCGATTCACCCACTGGAGTCCACCTCATTGAGGCTGTAAAAACACTTCGTTGGACTGGGAACGTCCAGTGAATCACATGATATGACCACAAAAGGCCGGAACTTGGTGAGTGTCCAAGAATCTTCAGAAACGGTATCGCTGGGTCCTTCTCCCAAACGCGAAACCATTGGAGCGTTTCTCCCCCAAAACTCCGTGACCGTTGACCACCGAGCAACTCCCGCCCGACGCCTCCGCCGCGGACCACCAGTCCCGTTTCGGCTCCATCAGCACTTCACCTCGACGCGACGCGTTTCGGTGCCGCCGCGGTGCCGCACGCCGCGTCAGGATGCGTCAGGCGTTGGCCACTTGGATGCAGAAACGGGGACACCAGCTTAACCCATCTTAACCCTAAAGGCCTTAGGCCTTTTTAAGTGTGTATGGGGTTGATGTATCGACATGTATCGACTTATCAAAATGTTGCTCAATGTGTTTGATTGAATTCCAAATAGCTGCCAACCAGCTGTCTTAATTAAGGTATGGGAACTTTACGGCAAAATTGGTGCTCAGATCTAGAATCTAGCGAACCCAGCTCGAGCCAACCAACAAAGGTCACCAACAACTTGCGGCAAATGAACTTGTTGGATGGAAGTGTTCCCACAACACGACATGAGCGAGATACGGTTGATGGACCAGGTCACCCGCATCACCCGTGAACCAAACTCGGCACACTCGGTGCGAATGGAACCGCCTCTCCACGGCTTATCAGCGGCAACCGCACATCGAACAGGATTAGCCGCATTGCAACATGCACTTGCAAATGTATGGAAGCTTGATCTGCTGTGCCAAGGTGCTGTCTTGATACATGTCGTTGCATAGTTCGTTGTCGACCCATCCTCAACTTATCAACTCTGCCCAAAAAAAAAAACAACACATCCCGAGCAAAGGGGGTCAAATGGGTCTTCCCCCACGAGCAACTGTGAAATCAAGTGGTGCCAAGTGGAACTCTCACCAAGTTGTTCGCTGGAGCTCGCTAACTAAGGTGGTTATATAACTCTCTTTTCGCCCACTGCTCTGATGAATATGATGAATATAATATATATAATATAAGTCATAGGCTTTCCCTCATCCGATCTGGCCAAAGGCTAAGACACGTGAGGTGACGAACATGCTGATTCGAGGTCCTGCTTTCGAGAGGTTGCTTCCACCATTCCTGGGTCTTCTGGGGGGCACACTGTGGCTCTCCAGCGTGGGCCCTAGGCTCTGCTGGTGATTTTGGGGCTCATGGATGTGGCCAAGGGCACAAACAGTCCGACCTTGGGGCGGTTTCTAGCACCGTCTTCCCATCACCTGAACATGATGTGAACACTTTGAGCCAACAATCCTCTGCTAAACACGCATGGCCTTTCTCAACTTGAGGAACGACTTCATGCCGAGAATCCAAGATGACAACTCAGCATCAGGACCTTGTAAAGCTTGGCCCAGTACTCACACAGGAGCACCTGGCCACTTGTGTCGCTTGAGCCAATGGTGGAAACCAACTTATATATTATAGTTAGAATCTGACAAAGGACCGGGAACACGAGCTGTTGTCCGTCCAGATGCCTGACATGGAAAGGGCCTGAGGAAATGTTGTGCGGCCTATCTCTTGGTTAGCGTGAGGCGTGAGAGATCAAATCTCCAAAACCCTTCCAAAACACCCCAAACAATCCCAAACAAACCATGGAACCCCACCAGCAGCCACAAAGGCCAGTCCAGGACCCAATCGATCGTTGGACAAGATATGATAGGAACAGGAACTACATTCTGAGTTCCACAACCGCCAGCATCAAAACACTGCAGTCAAGGCTTCTGGATGGGTTTGATACACTCACGACTTTTGTGGAGGGGTATATTATAGAAACCATTTCCCTCGCTCGAGGTCCAACTGCTAGCGTCAAGATGTGTCAAGGGAACATCCGCCAGCCGACTGACTGTTCAAAGCAGTCCATGAGTGGAGGGAATGGCATGGATTGGCACCTGGCTCTGTCCAGCGCTCAACAGGGTCAACATGATTAAGGCCTGACCCCTTCAGTTTCCACCCGCTGGATTTGAGTGGGGAATCCTATTCCCCAATGTTCAACGCGGCTTATTCACTGACTGGCTAGGTTGAGGATGGTTGAGGTAGATTCCCCTGACAGCCACCCACGTGTTCCCCGCCGCGTGCCTGTGCGCGCTTTTGGTAGGCAAAGTTCAGCAATCCATTGTAGTCCTCACAGCGTGGAGAAGTGCAAAAGAAATCTGCAGAACGCCATCCGCTCCCGATGAGGCTCACACACCCACACACCGTGAACACCTTCTGCCTCCATTCGCACCTCTTTTTGGGAGCTGCCGCGCTTCGTCGCGCCGGCGAGATGCGAGGCCGTGCAAGTGCCGCTGCCTGTGACGACCTATGCGAGCCTGTACAGGATATGCACCCCTCGGGGAGTTGTGAAGATGTCACTCAAGGATCCCACCTGGCGCAAAGACTCTGAGCCGCTGACACTGCTTGACACCAACAATTGTCTTAGTACGGATTGGGAGATTGATCCCGGCTTTGCATCTACCCTGAAGGGGGTCTTTAAACGACTCCCAACATCTTCTCAGTCAATGGTCCTCGCCTTCAAAGACCCTAAAATTTGATGTGCCTCGCCCCTTGTAATCGAAAGTTTCGAGCAAACCTGGCCACTGACGAAAACAGGCCCACACCAGGGAAGAGTCATATAACCTGAATGGCATGGACCAGACTGGAAGACGCTTTCCCTCTACAAACCCGGTGTTCAGCTCCGTCCCACGGTGACTCCGACAGCCGTCTCAGGTCCGTCGGATCCGAACGCGTCCGCCCGTACGCGTCCGCCCGAGCCACCTGGTAAAGCATACAATTCCATTAGGACCAATCATAGCCCTAGAAGTCCGGTTCGACTCTTTGTTGGGACCACCGAAGGGGGTAACAAAGGATCAAAAAGAGCCATGTCTGAGTCTTTGACCATGCTCTCACTTAGCATGAGGGGTAGTCCAAGACCTTGTTTAGACCATTTGTTAAACTATTTTCAATCAAGCTCTTGGACTCCCGAGGCATTTCTCACATGAAGCGAGATCTGGGGCCGTTGGCAGCAGAAATCGTTGTGATCTGGTCATAGCATCGCACGAAACCGTGTGCTCACGTGATCGCAAAACACTGGCCTTCAAAGACCATGAAAAGAATGGTCGACCTGCTTTTGTAGTCTAAATCCTGAGTAACAGTAAAACAATGGCTGCTTGGTAAAGACCATTAAAACAATGGTTGCAGCCAATAACACCCGCCATCCAAGCTTGCCAAGACTTCCCAACTTGTCAAATGCTTTCGGAGCTTATTGTGATGATAGGGTCATTGAGACTTGGAACAGGCAGGTAGATAGGAGTCCTGTCGAAACTACAGTGATTTTGCCACCCACTCATGATGGACCTTCATTCCCACACCCACAGCCGCACGAATCCCCCTTCTCACATGTTGGTGTTTGCTAATGACATCACATGACAGTGGACCATGGGCACCGCATGTTCTGTTCTGCCTTTGTCCGCCACCCACTTGAGTTGATCCACTTCCCCCATATCCATAGGGCCCCCATATCCATAGGGCCCCCGCCCCACAAAAGAGTCAAGCTTTCCTACCCATCAAAGCGTCCGACGCTTTGCACCTCCAACTCGAAGGCCACGGCATCGAAGTCGCGGCCAAACTGCCCTGGAGCTTCGGCGGCGAAAGGGCGCTGTACGCGGTGGATTGGATAGCCCCTGAGAACCCCGGCCACATGGAGAGGTATTCACACTCCAAATGGGGAGGATTGTATTCATCAGTCTACATCATCTCCATCGAAGGTCTCCGCAAATCCGTAGATTCTTCCGGCAAAAGGGCAGGCAAGGGCCCGGCCGCCACCCTCAGTGCCTTTGCTCCATTGGGAGGGTCAAAGCCCTTCAAAGGGGAACTCAGGAAGCTGATAGAGACTGCAAAGCCTTACCAGCAAACAAAAAGTGAGGTGAGATGAGGTGAGCACAAATCTGGAACCTAACGATTTCTATAGAGCAGGATTCGCACCACCACTGATCGGGCTTCGTGCCGCATCCAAGCTCATCTACCTTGTGCCAAAACGGGGAGCACACATTGCCGCTGTTGTTGTCCCCGAGTCATGTTGAGAACTGAGAACTGATCCCGGAGATGCAGAGTTCAACCTTTTTCCATCATGATGATCCATGCCCAAACACTCCATGAGCCTGGCATATTGACCCATGAGGATGCCCAAACATTAGGATTCCAAGCACCCTATGTATATTGGCCACCTTACCACAGCCAAGGACCCGAGGACCGGTCCGCGGACCTCACCTCGGACCTCGGACGGGTCCGTTCTCCCGGATCGACCCGACCTTCAAAGACCCAGCCCAGATCGGCGTGGGGCTTGTTGGTCGCAGACTTGCAGTCCTCGGTTTCGGCGGGGGCGGGTCTTGTACTCGGTACTCGGTACCCCGAACGTCTAACGGGTCGAAGGAAGGGACGTGCGGAAACCACGGTCCACCCACGAGACGTGAGCCGGAACTCCGGAGTTGTTCAGGTGGAATGCAACCATGGGACCCCAAACACGACCTATGGGACCTATGGGACTGACACTGGGACTGACATTTGTTCAGTACAAATGTTGCCTGTTACATTGGCGTGGTTGACCTGGGGTCCAGTCATACATGGAGTGTCTGGGTTTTACTGGTTGGTGGTTTCAACTCGCTTGAGCAATATTTCAACTCGCTTGAGCAATATGAGGTCAGTGGTTTCAATCATACAGGTCTTGGAATTCTTTGAGCAGGCGGTCTGGAGACTTCTTAGCCCCCCCCTCCACTTCACAGGGTGGCAAAAGCCCAGTGTCCCCAGTTAGATCAAACACCGGATGCCACACGGTGGGCCAGTACTTCGACTGGCAAGCCAATGGGTTTTGGTGGTTCCAAGCCCGTCCAACAAGTCTGCGGGCCTCAAGCCCAAACTGGGAAACACGCTTGTGACTACTCAAGCCACTCCATCATCCAAGCAAACTGACATGAGGCACCGTTGAACAGCAATGGTTGAGGCACTGGTGACTTCGCAGTTCCATCTGGTTGGATCCATGTTGCAACCTCGCCTGACACAAGCCCATATAAAACCCCATAATTAATATAAGAATGTTCCAAAATGGACACACCTTTGATACCACATATATCATACATCCACATACTGCATGTCCAAATCTCACATGACTCCGGGCTTCCAAGGCATCAAACAAACATCCTCCGACCCGGCGGTCCCCCCCCACGACAGGCTCTTCAAACAGCGAAAACCACCGACAGACCGATCTCCGTCCGGCTGCGCCTCACATGTTGCATGGTAGATTGGCAAAGTGAGTCTCCTTCATGAAAGAACAGTTGTCAAAAGGTCTTCCGCAGAGTTTTTTCCCAAAACCCAGACACGACCCATGGGACTGCCGGACTGCCGAGAAACGGCCAGGGGTGGTTGACGGGCACCATGGAGTCTTTGCCAACAGTTAGTTCGATGTCTGATGAAAACGACAAATACCAGGACCCTCCTGGCCAGGCTGTTTGGAGACCCGACCACAGGTGGTTTCTGGACACCGGACTTGTCACCAGGAAACACCTGTAGAGTCGGGTGCTGGTAGTTGCCAAGGTTCGGAGAGCACCTCGCACTTGGCAGCAAAGCGTACCGCCAGGTCCTGGGAACGGACGCGGGTGGAACGTGATTCAGGCGGCGGCCGCGGAGCCAATGGAACCTGTATACCAAAACACCCGGGCCGCTTCCATTGATAGCCCCTTAGAGGTTTGAAGGGGTGTCCATCAACCACCCCGACAGGTGGGTCCTGGTGGTCTTGGTTGAGATGGGCTTGCGGAGTTCATCGGTCTGCCATGGGCCCCATGGGCCGACTCTACACGCCCACGAAACGATGAGAAATCAGGTCCTTGTTGTCTCAACGATCTGGCCTGGCTTTTGTCTACTACGCCACACCCAATCCCTGCCACCCCTAGGCCCTAGACCTGATAGTTTTTGTGGGATGTGTGTGTCTTCCCTTTTTGCGTTCCATAAGCCGATCAGGCGTCACATGACCCACCCAACCCACCTCAAGCTACAAGATGCTACCAGTAGGCAGTTCTTTCTGCGAAGGTCGCTAAAAAATAGCACCCCACCCCAACAAGCACGTCATGTCTCCTTGTGCTCCCCCGGCTTTGGCCGTTGCAGCTCTTCTAAGGTCTGCATCAGCAAGCGTTCCGCTGCCGCCTCCGCCGGGGGCGGTTCCGGCTGTGGGGAGGAGGAACCGCACCGGCGCTTCTGGGCCGATTCGCACGGGAACCATGATGACAGTATGTGAACGTATGTTGAAGTGGCAACCCAGCATGTGTGTTTATTGAATTCTTTACTCAGGGCGTGCAGGATGCGTTTAAGAATGGAAAATAAAGGCGTGGTAACCTCAGTGTGCCTCCAATGAATGGACATTGTAATTATGCTGCCGGTCGATGATGTTAATGGTGTTGTTGTTCAGGTGATGGGTGAGGATCCAGTGGCGCCGCTCCTTGCGCCTGCGTGCGTGAGGCCTTTCTGCGCGCCAGGGAATCCGCCTCACTCACCTCAGCTGGAGCCTGTTTTTTGAAGGAATCCCAGTCACACCCTGCCAATGGTGTGGTGGGATGGCGGCTGCTTGAGGGAGGAGAAGCGGCCGCCGGGGAGTTGTGCTGTGCTTCCTGGCTGTAGGGGCCCTATGGAGGCCTAGGACCAAGAAGTGTCGGGTTGTCCAGGTGACCCCGACACAGGAATGAGCTGGCATGTTCCGGGCAGCTGGCATATTGCCTCACCAGTCATGGGCGTCGGAACACCGAGAGGAGTCCAACCTAGAAGTGTTCGGCCATCCAGCCGTGACCCAGGCCCATTTAGCATGAAACTCTGCTTTCGTCTTGCTGTGGATCGGGAAAACAGGTGGTCCGGGAGAGAAATCCCAAAACGGATTCCCAAACAGAACCTCACAACAGCGTATGCTGGGAGGTACCATTGTGGGGCCACCTTAGAAAGAAGCAAGTTGCATTGGTGGTTGTATCTCCTACATGGCTGTGGGTCAAACCGAGGATACGAGTACCTTGGTTGACCTGGAAGGTCAACCTATATGGAAGAGCTCCCTGGCCACCAAGAGGAAGTCCTCATGCAAGTCCTCGTCCTCGTCCTCGTCCCACCCCGGT